AACTTTTGTTTACTGGAAGGCTTGCTCTCCAGTTTTGTGTTGCTAAGCGGTATCCAAGCACGTGACCACTAGCTGCAAAGGGCCTATTCGCTAACACACTTGTGCGGAAACCCGTTCGCAGGTCCCAGCCAATAGCAAGGCAGCAATTAAATTGCGGTTAAATAATTGCTCTCACTTTGCATCGGCGAACAACTGGTAAGAGGATTTACACCTCGTTATGATAAAGTTCAATTTGCATTCTACGATCGACGGAGCCTGGATTTTTGATTGAATTCAATGAAAACAAACAGCTGCAGTTTGTTATGACATGAAAGGGGGTTATGTGAACTCTCTGGTACATGCAGTAGCGGCTTTAATCTACTTCGTATCGCATATCAATACAAAATCATCGGGAGTTCTTTAAACTGCGCATGATTCTGGACGTTTCAGAACTTAAGACTGCGACGGTTCAAGTTTGTTGTTTCATTTTGATTCTTCCTATCGCCTGGTACATCGCGTACAGTCTCTGTTTTGCAGGAAAATCATTTTCACTAAGCTCTCTTAAGAAGAAATTACATCGAATGTAGGGGGATTCTAATTGTTAAGCCATGATCTGCGCCAATAGCAATAATAATAACGATTCGAAACTAAAAGGGCAAGAAGCCTTGCTGGAATGGTGCCGGCAACAAACGGAAGACTACAAGGATGTCAACATTCGGAATATGACAGATTCGTGGAAGAATGGACTCGCTTTTTGCGCCCTTATCCACAGAAACAGGCCAGATTTGATGTGAGTTTGACTAAAATTATAATCTAAACAAGTTTTTTGTACGTTCCTAAAGAGTTAGAATTCTTGACAAGTTTTAGTGTGAGACCAGAAGTGACCCCTGGTAGCAACGCTATGAATCAAGTCGGGACAGAAAGTATAGGTCTAATATTGAAAACTGCAACACAAAGTATGTAAATAGACTTAGAATTTCACACTGGTGGGTGTACGTTCTTCCGCTAAATCCTATTGGGATATTTTGGGAGGGAGAAAAACTGAAAAGCCCGGAGCAAAACCCTCGAAGCACAGGAGAGAACGATCAGGAAGCTCCACTCACACACGGACACCGATTTCGCGGGAATCAAACCTGTGTCGCTATTTGTGAGATGCACTGCACCGAGCGCTGTCTTTGCCACACCACCCACTTCTGTGTGTGTACGGTACGTATATGATAGTGTATAAACATATCTTTATGTTCGCAGAGGTTCATCTATTTTGGAATTATCGAAAAGAACTATTTTGTAGAACTGCATGAACGCAGAGTCGAAGAAAACTCGCAAAAAATTCGTTTGACAGATTTCAAACTCTATTTTGGAACCTAAGTGAAAATGCTGGGTCTTAGATCATTTTAGTTCTATTCAGTTCAGAAAGGCAGTGCCCGGACGCCACTAATTATACAAATGCTTGTCGAGTGGTTCTGCTACAGCTGCTCCATCGGCTATGTGGGCAGGACTGCACAAAAAAGTTGTAGAGTTAACTGTCGCTTTTGTCATGTTGATGCCAATTTTGTCAGGTTCCGCAAATTTGGTTTGTCAAGCCGATTGTCATTTTGTGCCCAAACTATAGATTTTCATCTTTAATTATAAGCCACTATAAGAAAAAAGAAAGGCTAATTACCGGTGAATGAATACTTCAGAGTTGACGGGTAAATTTGTTTACTGCTATTGAACGACAGTTTAGTTGGTTCACTTGTGTTTCGACAGATTAATTTGGATGTACAATGAAGTGAGGAAGATGATTAAAGATACCTCATGTAGTCAACTAGCTTTGATAAAATGACTGTAATAACAAACTCCGTGAATACGACTTCCTTTGAATGACTGTGCTTTTCTATTTCTTTGCATACAAGTCCGGCGAAAACTGAAGAAATTTTGAAGACCTCTCTATCTCTCTAATAAACTTCGTTAATCCGACTTCCTTTCAATTGACTGTGTTTTTTCTATTTCTTTGCATACATGTCCGGCGAAAATTGAAAAAAATTGGAAGACCTTTCTCTGATAAACTTCGTGAATCCGACTTGCTTTAATTGACTGCGTTTTCCTATTTCTTTGCATGCCCGGCGAAAACCAAAGAAACTTTGAAGAGCTCTCTAAAGAAGAACCAAGGAAGAACCTAGAGTTGGTGAGTGAACATTAGTTTCTCTGCATGGTACTGAGCGTCTTTGTCAAACTTAAACCAGTTCATCTAGACATAGTTAACTATGATCTATAGAGTAGCTAGCGTATATTTTGTCTTCGTTGAAGAGCGTCCAGGCACATACATACGTATGTAGTTTGAACTTCAAGGCCGACCTATACGTCTTCTTCATTTACAGGAAATAAATAGTTGCAGGTCAACACTCAGTCTATGCCAGGGGGCAGATCGATGGGATTATGATACCTTGTTGTGCTAAATCCGAAGGACGATTCTCAATGTTGAAACTTTTTATTCTGACTTTTAGTAAAGGATTTGTATAAAAACTTGAAACCGTAGTAACAAAAAACTCTCCTTAGAAAGATTCTCTCTTGTCTTGATCTCTTATCTTTCTATCTTATGTGTTGCCAAGGCGACGCTTTAGTTGATTGTCAGTTGTTATGGAATCACGTCTTTGTTCATTTGATGAATTAAAGTAAGGCTTTTAGGAACATGTTTAACAAGGTTAATCAAACTGATAAACCTTGTGAAAGAAGTCAGACAAAAAAATATCTGATCGTTGTAGTCATAATGTTTCTTAAAACTATTCAGCAGAGTGGCTGGTAATGACAAGGCCTTTCCATTGTCAAACTTGTCTGCAAAAGAAGTCAAAACGTGCACTGATCCCTTAACCGATCTGTGATCCAAAAGTGAAACGATGTTTTACGAGCTTCTTCTGCATTCAAAGACCTTCAAATTTTATCGATATTTTGAAACCTCATGGTATATCATAGTCGATCCACAGGGCTCGGCTTTAATATAAAAGATTGATTTGGAATTTAGCGTTTAGTTTTTGTAAAGAGAAGAAAACCGGARTACCCGGAGAAAACCCGAGAAGACCCTGCAATCTAGAGGCCGGGAAGGCCTAAAATAAACTATGCTCACACGGTGTGTTGCCGGAGTCCAGGAAACGGACCAGCCCGGCCACGCTCCTACACTAGCCATCACGGAGCCTTTAGTACTAAGATAATTCAACTCTTTCAAGTGAATTACAGTTTAGTTGTGTTCAGTGTTGCTCTTGTCTGTGGCCACCGATTGAGAATGACCTTTCGGAATGGGGATCTTCTTTTCCATGCCAAACGTGGCTCAGATTGCTAAAAAGGATCCGGACTAACCTGCTGGCTGTTTCCGCTACTTATTGCATCAGTTGCATGGGTGGTCACTCACGTTCACTTCTCATAATCATTTTTTACATGCAGCCAGTCAAGACTTACTCGATATGTAACTTGAAAACATCCTGGTCTGGTAGAATTTAGTTTTTGCTGGTTGTCATGTCAATTGAATGTGTCTAAGCCGGGTTTCTAATAGTGCAATGGCTGCTCTCTTAAGATCCTAGAAACGTATCTATATTGCAAGGTCCCTATTGCGATGCTTGTGTGACACACATCACATAGTAGGAGCAAGTATTCGGCCCATGATCTCATTTATATGTTGGTATTGATCCTTGATCTTTCGAGGTCTATAGACGCGCAAGGGGAGCTGTCAAAATGTCTTTCTTTTTTGATCTCATGCCACTTATTGTTAATTCAGCTAGCTAAATAATTAACAAAAGCAAGAAGGAAATCGAGTGCAACCCTTAACTTGGTGGTGTATGGTATCAGTTTTACTAGAAAGCCAAGCAAACGAATAGACCTTCTCAGCTCGGGCCCAATGTTTTACCCATTTTAGACCACGTGTCATTCCCTAGAGTATCATTTCTTTGTTTAACGGTTGCGCTCGGTTGCACATGAGGTAACACAGGAATAAGGATACAACTAAAATAACGAATCTTATTAAAGTGAAATTTTATTGTTTTTTACTTATCATGATAAGCATTTAGGATCTAGAAATATAAATCCAAGAAGAATATAACAATGACACGTGGTCTGAAAGGGTCTATCAAGGTGGTCTATTAAGGTCGTACTATTTATTGATTCAGGCATTTGCTGTAGCGGAAAGAGAACTGGGTATCCCACCATTGGTGGACGTTACTGATGTTGCAGAAACGCCGGAGGAATTATCCATCCTCACCTACGTTTCCTTGTTTTACCACAAGTTCAAAGACCAAGAAACAGGTATGTTTTGATGGCTAGCTAAAGCAGTTTTGACTGTTAGCTTTTTAGGGAGAGGTTTACTCTGCCTTGAGAGATCTGTTCCTACCCTCCCTGACCAGGGCCTGCCGGTCAGCCCTACAGATCGAGGGGAAGAAAGATTACCTCTGCTCGAAGAGTAGGAAAGGCTAGAAAATGCAGCTGCGCCACTTCTTACTGCTGGTTTTGTGAGACCCGCCATCATATGTGCGTATAGATTATTAGTTGCTTGGTTATCTCTTGTGCTTTAAGAACACCACAGTGCGCCCGTATTTATTCAAAATTTTGATACACGGACGCACGGGTGGTGCGCGCCTAAACCACTGTGGTCATACTGTAAGTTCGACTCCTTGATTCACCATCACGTGAATAGAAAGGTTCGTTTGGTTACGTCTTACGCTTCAAGGGGCGGTGCGCATGTATGCCATTATTTTATTATTCAAAACCCTTTAGATTTAGGCAGGCAGAGGTGGCGCGCGCATTTAATGCGAAGCCTATAGCTGACTAGTATAACCGCTATGCCAGCTGATCCCTGGACCCTCTATAGTTGTATTTTGATTGTCCGGGTTCAATGGTTTTCTTCCGTCTGCCGTAAAACCACCAACTTCTGCATGTCGATGCTATCTAGACAAATGTTTAATGAAACCTTTTAGCTTGTAAGTATTTTTTCCCCAACTCAAAGTCATACATTTGTTCAACAGTTGCACAAACTTGATAAGACGAAACATCAACACATTCATGATCAGTGAATGTGAATTCAACTCAAACAAAGAGTTTTATTCTCAAAATAATGACACGTGATGGCTAAACATCACTGACGCCCAAACTAATGTCTATGAAGAAAAATCTTATTACATCCTGTTAATAAGCCTTTTCATAGTTTAAGAATCGTTTTCAGTGCGCATGCGATTTTATCCCGAATTTCCCACTTTCCTTTGTCTAAACCTTCTTTTGTTCTTAATTAAACAAAAGAAGGTGAGAAATTCGGGATAAAATCGCATGCGCAGTGGAATCGATTCTTAAACTATGAAAAGGCTTATTGCCCTATTTCACTATGACGTCACTGCTTGTTTATGTGGGGGATAGAATTGCCACATCCAATAGAGAATTCAACGCACGAAATTTGCTCCTAGCGAAACAGTTTAATCTAAAATGGCCTGGTTTTCAGGTATAATATGTGTTAAATATACTAAAAAATATTCTGAGCGTTTGCTGGCTATTCTACTTCTCTTCGTGGATTGGTACGGGTTTTTAGAACAATTTTCGGTGAATTTGAGTTGATTTGACCCCGTCCGACGACCATGATCCTATGCGTTTAAACAATAGATTGTTGAAGATTGTTTTGATGTGACGTCATGGTGAATTAGGGCAATTCCCTTCGAGTTACACATAAAACAATTTAAGCGTTTGTATTATGGAAAACATCTGTGATGCTGATAACTTTTATGTCATGTATAGGAGAACAAAAACCAAAGAAAACGAGGAGGTACATGTTGGACATTCTTTGCGACGAGAAATCAAGGGAGAAATTAAACTTCTAACTCTGAATCATTTTGCCAAATTACTTGAAGTATAATCAAGCATAAACACTGATGATACATCGCAGGGGAGGGGGGGGAGG